GGCGGGGCTCTCTGGAAACCCAAACTTTCCCCAAACTTGCTTAATGCGGGATGATTTATTTGAGTTGGAGCTGACCTCTCTTGTCTCGCCGTCCTAGAGTTAGGATATTTGACAGTAATGAAGAGTGATAGATTGCTCCCGCTCAGCTAAGCAGCTGATGCATTAATTATAAATTGCGGTATGGCTAATATAAAGTTTGCTCTGGTGTGGGGAGGTTGGGGAGCTGGAGGCAGTAATTTTGCCGAGGGGGCCGAGGGGCACGCAGCACCGGGCGCTCAGCAGTGCAACACAATGGGTTTACTGCATCCAAAGGCGGCCATTTTGTTGCAGTTGTTATTTTATGCTATATGGACATATAGATATAGACACATACGTGCAGGGTGAGCACTCCCCCCTCCAACACACACACGGGATGCGATGTGCTCGGGTGCTGAAATTCAATCCGTGCATTTATCTGTTTTGTGTGTGCCTGCGTGTGGTTTTGCCCTGGCTGTTCTGGCGGTGGTGCTTTGGGGTGCGTGTGGTGGTGTTGTTTTTCTTTTTCCTTTTTTTTGTTTTTTTTTTCTTTTTTAACAGACCCCCTTGAAATCCCTGATAGCGGTAGCGGTGGATCTAGGCGGCTGAGGACGGCTTACACCAACACACAGCTTTTGGAGCTGGAGAAAGAATTTCATTTCAACAAGTATCTCTGTAGACCAAGGAGGGTTGAGATTGCAGCCTTGCTGGATCTGACTGAGAGACAAGTCAAAGTCTGGTTCCAGAACAGGAGGATGAAGCACAAGAGACAGACCCAGTGCAAGGAGAACCAAAACGGCGAGGGCAAATTTAAGAGCCTAGAGGACCCCGAGAAAGCGGCGGCGGAGGAGGAGGAGGAGAAATCCCTCTTCGAGCAAGCCCTCAGCAACGTCTCCGGCGCTCTCTTGGAGCGGGAGGGCTACGCTTTCCAGCAGAATGCCCTCTCCCAGCAGCAGGCTCAGAATGCGCACAATGGCGACTCCCAAACTTTCCCCATTTCGCCTTTAACGAGCAATGAGAAAAATCTGAAACATTTTCAACATCAGTCACCCACTGTTCAAAACTGCCTCTCAACAATGGCCCAGAACTGTGCAGCTGGCCTGAACAATGACAGTCCTGAGGCCCTAGATGTCCCTTCTTTACAGGACTTTAACGTTTTCTCCACAGATTCCTGCCTACAGCTTTCAGATGCAGTTTCTCCCAGTTTGCCAGGATCTCTGGACAGTCCCGTAGATATTTCTGCTGACAGTTTTGACTTTTTTACAGACACACTCACTACAATTGACTTGCAGCATCTGAATTATTGAGAAATTAAAGACGTCCTCTCCAAGGGTCCTGCTTCTCCTCCTTATTCTTCTTTATTTTCCCCGTGAATTAATTTTTTCCCTCCCTTTTCCTGGTCAGTATTTTCTGTTTATTACCTTCCTCTGCTGTGCCATTTTGCCGTTTCTTACGAAGTTTTAGTTGTGTTCAATTTTAACCTAGCCACATTCTAGGTCATTCTATGAAAGCAATATATGAGGTCTGTAAGGAAGTGATTATATAAGAATTGTATCTTCACTTTCTTTTTATTTTTGTATTGCATTAGGACGCGTTGTCATAAGTATTTTTGGTAGAATAAATTCTTGTTTGATACAAGGAGCTTTATCTTTTTTTCTTCTTTTTTTTTCTCTTTCTCTCTCTTTCTTTCACTCTCATTTCAAGACTGATAACACAGCGAGCATTTCTCCCCCTCCCTTCTACTCTTAATCTACTAATAATCAAAATCCAACACTCTAACTACGAGCTCTCCCCTTTGGGCAGTTAGGACATTTATTAGAGAGGAAAAACACGTTCAAATTCTTTATTGCAAGGATTCTCACAAGGAAAAAACCAACCAAACAGCAAAGCACAAAAAGACTCAACACACTAAAGAAACTAAAAAAATTCACAGCTTTGATGGAGACCTCTTCCTTGTAATGTAGCATCTTATCTCCGTGAGGATACAATGCTTTGAAATGCTGAGCTGTAACAAAAGCATGAACGAGCACTTTCTCTGTTTCAGTCAAAACACAAGAGAGACTCAGTAGCATAAGCGTCTCCTGCAGAAACTAGAGTGTTACATACACGAAAGGCTTTTTTTTTTTTTTTTAATGGGAGCGGGGGGGAACCAATCCTGTTTTTCTAGAAAGTAGGGCTTAGCAGTCAGGAAGCTATTTCAGGAAGCGAATCTTAAAAAATATCAGAGCTCACAGAGAATGTGCTTGGTTACTCCTCATGTGCTGAACGGTCCAAGAAATCTGTCCTAGAAGGAGAGGAAATGGAGAAGTTAGTGCCTCTAAAATCAAAAGTGTAGCAGAATCATGGGGGGGGAGGGAATCTAGTATTTGAGTAGGAATCAGCCCCTCCACACTTTTGAGGGGCGGTGCGGGGGGGCACAGCCAAAGATGTTTTTCTGTTTAAACCTTCTCGTGGGACGAAAGACCGATAACGAAAACGGATAACTCAGACTTTAAACTTACAGTTTCCTCGGGGCTCCGCACTCTGTGCTGGCGGCGGCAAAGATGGACTTTCAGAAATCTTCACCAAATTGCCTGCCACCCGGCTAGCGGCGTTGCTGGACCCAAACGCGGAGGGTGAGCACCGTCCTTCGGGTGCAAACCGAGCAACAGATGCCAATGAGGCTCTGCCGCTCCGGGCTGGGAATCCCATGTGGGTGCGACCGCAGCTCCCCGGGTGCGTGGGGACGCGTGGGGGTGCGGGTGAGCCTGCCGTTACACTACACAAGCGACTGGGGCTTGAGCGGGGGTTTGTGGAGGGGGCTCTGCTGCCCGTCCATGCGAGGAGCGTTATCTCACTGCCCTGCAACACGTTGTGGAGCTGGGATGCGTGGGTTATAGCTGGAAGGGTTGAACGCAATTCTTCCGAAAGTCATAAATCAAACTCTTTCTATGAATGAGAATGTCATCAAAGAGATCAATTGCAGGAACACATGCACAAATAAAAACCCTCTTACGTATTTGCCGGGGCTGGGGATCCCCGTCTAAAACCATTAAGTGAGAAGGCGTTTAGTCATAATTCATTTTTATTGCTCTTTTAAAACAGCAGCTTGGCTGAGCTGCGGACGCGGCAAAACCTCGGCCCTGCTTTTTGTCCTTCTCTGTGCTCCAGCCCTGTCCTTGATCAAAGTGAGCAGCCTCACTGGTATTATAACTTTGCCACTGGGTTGAATTGGACTGCAACGTCCACGTATGGGTTGGGTTTTCTTTTGTGCCCGGATTTCTGGATGCTGACAATGCTTAAAAAAATAATAAAACCCGAAAGACATAACGCTACAAGATTTAAAATCCTTGCAAATTTCATTTAAATAAACAGGGGGATTCAAAGAGCAGGAGTCTCCTCCGAGTCTCCCGGTGAGTCCTGGGGCCACAGCGGGGGCACACTCCCACGGAAAAGCCTAAAGGGCAGGATCAGCCCCCGTCGGTCCCAGTCCCGGGGCAGGAAACACGGAGCGGAGCCGCGGCGGGGCGCGGCGGGGGCGGGCCAGCCCG